CACAGCCAGTCTTTCTCTCTCTCGCTCTTTCTACAAAGATCGGAATTGTGGCCGCGATGATTTTTCCCTGGGACATTTCATGGAGGTGAAAGTTGGGCTTTGGAGAACCGAGATAGATGCTTTTGAACGATGGTGGTGGTGGTGGTGAAGACTCCTGAGAATACCATGGACCAGAAGGGGACAGTTGTGTTGTGGCCCGCCAGCTGCCAGCAGAGCTGGCGGCAGACTTGGACGATGAGGAGGTTGGGGAGGAACTTGGGCCTGTCCCAGAGTCTCGGGAAGGTTCTGATGGATGCTCTGTGTTGGAAGCAGAGAGAGAGCCAGGGCCGTCTGACATTTCCCAGCTGCCTTCCGAGTCGAGATAAGTGGGGAAGAAGAACAGCTGGGGCCTGTTCCAGATGCGCGCATGCGCAGAGCTGTCAGGAGAGGAGAGCAATTGAGTTCCAGGAGCCGACTCAGAAAGAAAGGCACACCTGGATGCTAAATAGCCCCTCCCTGGCTGGGGAATAAATAGAAGCTAAAGCGGAGTGGCATCCCGATCTATTCATCGTGATTTGTGTCTCAGAGCCTGCTTGAGAGAGTTTGATTTACAGCTTTGTGGCTGGAAGCTGGAAGCTCCCGGCCTGGCAATTATCCCATTACTGATAAGGTCTGTACTTCAGTTAACCCTTGGAAGGATTACTGCCTGGACTTTTCTGTGTGGGAATGCCATGAATTCCCAGTAGCTAAATAAAGAGGGTTTTTTCGGGACAAGGGGTTCTGTTTCTTGGTTCTGCTAAGGTGTTGTGACCCAGGCCCAAGTAGGTAGTATTAGACGCAGACAGTTCCAAAACTTACAGACTTTATTAAAACAGCTAAGAATTAACTCATTCTCAGCGTAGTCCAAGCTAAATCAAAACAAATTCTTCATAACACAAATTCTTCAGTCTAATCACCAACCTTGGTATAATTAGGCAAACTGCCAAAGGCTTCTCTTGGCAAAAGTTCAGAAGCAGAAGATGCTGACCAGAGATAAGTGCAGCAAGACAACAAATCTATCAACGTTGTTTTCCGACAAAGAGGTCAAGAGCCGTTGCTGGTCTTTTAAGCCTTATGGGAGGGGCCAATAATCTCTTGGCCCTACTCCCGAGTTGTCCTCTTTGTTGTAGATGCTCTTGCCTTCTGGCAGTTCTTCTCATACGTGCACTAGGAACAGGCTCCTCCTGTTCCTCTGCCTCTCTGCTATCCGCCTCTGGAGGCTCCGGAGTCCGCACATCGCTCCCAGATGGCCCTGGCCCCATCTCTGCCTCCGATGCAGAGTCCTTGTCCCGGCCTTCCCCTGACTCCACTACTGGCCCATTGTCCTCCCCAGCCTCCTCACTGTCCGGCTCCGCTGCCAACTTCGCAGGCTGCTGGCGGACCACAACATAAGGCTGGGTCAGAACAAATTGGTCGCAGACATATGACTCCTGCCTACTTCACCCCGGCTTAGTTACAGATACAGATTAACAGAGTTGGAAGGGACCTTGTAGGTCATCTAGTCCAACCCCCCACCCAAGAAGTGAACCTACACCATTTCTGACCGATGGCAGTCCAGTCTCTTCTTGAAAGCCTCCAGTGATGAAGCCCCCACAACTTCGAAGGCAACTTCTGTTCCATAGGTTGATGGTTCTCACTGTCAGGAAATTTCTCCTTATTTCCTTTTCTCCTTGTTTAATTTGTGCATTCAGCCAAGATACATAAGAGTGAAAACAGCATGTATTCACCAATCATAAGAAGACTAAAGAGTTCTCTGTTCATCCCAACTATTGGTAACTACACATAAATGTTACAGAGCTGATATTATTACAGATCACAATATTTCTGATATGGCAACATCTATTGCAAGCTTTCTTGTACCCTCCCGAAAGCTACTACCTAAACCCCGCATTCCTGAAAGTTGCATTGTTTGGCGAATGGAGCGACAGTATTTGCAGTATTTTCAAATTTAGCTCCCTACCTTCATTTTCCCTACCACTTGCCTTTTATAACCCAATACTTTGTCTTCCTTTCCTCCTTTTGTTTTGCCTTTCTGTCCCTGAACACAGAACACACACACACCCCAACGCCACAATTGAATGTAGTTGGCAGCCATCCATTTTTCTTCCCCTCCCGTACAACTTCACGATGTCGGCTTCACCAAGGAACGTGTGGCCAACCTAATGGGCTTTGTGCTGCTACCTTGCCCCCGGGCCACCTTGCTTCAAAGTGGTGGATTTGGAGGGTCAGTGGCCCTGCTGTTCTCCTCTGCCTTTCCCCCCCGCCCGCTAATAATTTTGGATAAAACGGTTGCACCGCCCTTGCCCAGCCAGGCTCATGCTGTGTCTCCCACTCTGGCGCGTGTGAAAATGGAGCCGACTAATTGTTTCATTTGCGCTAAAAGAGATGCCTGGGTAGTAAATCATAGGGATAGGCTGTGCTGGCAGCCATGCAGGAGGTCCGCTCCAGATGCAGCTAAGTGCTACCTAGCTAGAGCATTTCAACGCCACCGTCTGAGTTCAAGCAACAGGACAGGGAGGGGGAGGCCTGGGAAGGACCCCTTAGGGCAGACAGACCCAGTATAAATGTTGTTTTTGACACTGGCGACTGGAAAGGAGGTTTTGAGCTCAGCTCCAAAAGAGATCAAAGAAGGAGAATCTCTTCTGGGGCAGCTGGACCAATGTCTAGCCTTAAGCAGGGACCAGAAGCTTTTGAAGGCTCCCTACTGGAGATGGAGGATTGAGGAGGGAGAAATGCCTCCTGTAAGACAGGAAGGGACGTGGTGGATCAGCGGCTAAGATGCTGAACTTGTCGATTGCAAGGTCGGCAGTTCAGCGGTTCGAATCCCTAGTGCCGTGTAACGGGGTGAGCTCCCGTGACTTGTCCCAGCTTCTGCCAACCTAGCAGTTCTAAAGGATTTTGCAGTATCCTTCCCCCAGGAGTGGGGAGGGAATGGGGATTTTGCAGTATACTTTCTCTGGAGTGGGGAGGGAATGGGGATTTTGCAGTATCCTTTCCCCAGACTGGGGAGGGAATGGGGATTTTGCAGTATCCTTCCCCCGGAGTGGGGAGGGAATGGGGATTTTGCAGTATCCTTACCCCAGGAGTGGGGAGGGAATGGGGATTTTGCAGTATCCTTCAGCCACACCCACCAAGCCACGCCCACCAAGCCACGCCCACAGAACCGGTAGTAAAAAAAATTGGATTTCACCACTGCTTCCTTCGCTACTTTTGGAAGCCAGTAACTGTTCAGGATCACGGAGATAAATCTATCTGTGCGGCTGCTGGAAAAGTCAATGCCGACAATGGCACATCATTAGTCATGACTGTTTTAGATCATTCACCGCACCATGTGTGGGTTGTCCCCTGGGAATCTCACGGCTGGGTGAGATGCCGCGAATGGATTCCGGTGGGAACAGAACCTGCAGAGCAAGGAGAGGAGAGTGGAGCAACCTGCCTCCAAGCAGAGAATTCACCACACCTTGCAGGTCAGCGCTTGACGCTGTAAACGGTTAGATAATGCTCCAAGTTGGCAATTATATAGCTCAGCCATCCATGACCAGGTGCTCTCTTTCTCCTCCTCCTCCTCCTCCTCAGCCAGTATGCTTATTAGCCGGATGAGCAAAGACTCTGATGTTTGCAGAACCCCCTCTGGAAACAAGAGTGCTGCTGGCGTTTATGGTGTGACGCCGGAAAATTTTGGTGGTCCATAGAAAAATTATTTGCATTTTTTATATTGCACTAAATCAGGGGTCCTCAAACTACGGCCTCTGGGACAGATGTGTGCAATGAACGTTTGTGTTGCTGCAGAGAGTCTTCCCCTTCGGGGTCTTTTTGTGTGGATTGGAGGGGAGCAGAAATTCTGACTTGGGGTCTGCTTCAGCCTCCTGGTGTGGGGCTTTGGACGAAGGCTGGGGGGAAGTGCCGCTGGTGGCGAAGAGCCGGAGGGCCTCGTTCCAGTGGGACTGCATCATGGCCTGGAATTGGCTGACCATCTCAGCCAGCTGAGCCTCCAGGCGCCGGTACCTGGCCTTGCAGTCCTGCAGGTCTTCCCACTGCTTGGAAAGCCTATGCTCCTAGTCCTCAGTGAGGTGCTTCTGCTGAGCCTCCTTCTCAGTCAGATCCAATTTGAACTGAGCCAGCTGTTTTGCCAACTCTTTCTCGTGGTGGCTGCTTAGCTCCAACAACTGCTTCCTGTTGGGGCCCTAAGGAGCCCAGGTGGGCAGGAGAAGAGTGGCTGGGAAGGGATGGGCAAGTAGAGGCCGGCGAGGCGCCCTTCAACGTGAGTGACATTGAGTTGGCCACGCCCACCCAGTCACATGACTACCTAGCCACGCCCACCCAGCCGGTCATTAGGCAGATCGTATTAGTGGTCCGCGGGATTTAAAATTATGAATTTAGTGGTCCCTAGGGTCCAAAAGGTTGGTGACTCCTGATCTACCCTGTTTCCCCTAAAATAAGACATCCCCTGATAATAAGCCCAATCGGGCTTTTGAGCGCAAGCGCTAAAATAAGCCCTCCCTGAAAATATTTAAACGCATGGGCAGCTGGTCCCCGCCATTTTCTCTGGTTTCCTCCACATGCCCCAAAATAATAAGACCTCCCCGAAAATAAGGCCAAACGTTTATTTCGGGATTCAAAAAAATATAAGAGAGGGTCTTATTTTCGGGGGAAATACGGTAGTTCATGTGAAAAACCAGAGGCAGAAAGGGGGCAAATCTTTTCTCGGGACCATTGAAATGCCTCTGCTTTCTACGATAGACAGTGTCCATTTCTGTTTTCTTGCCACTTGTGGAGCTGGGGCCGATGGTACCTGGCCTTCCTTACCACCTGTGGCCTGGTGCATTCACAGCTAAGGTGACGTTTAGTCCGCGGAGGTCCCTGACCGCAGGACACACTCAACACTGCCACAACCGTTGTGTGGGAATATGGGCTGCTCCCCCATGTCTTTCTTCTTCTTCGTGTTCACTGATGCTCGGCATTTTTTTTTTTCCTTCCCCCAGTTGATGTCTTTGAACCCAGATGCCTCGAGAGATGCCTTCCAGGCCCTTTGGAACATCAGCACTTACCAAAGCATCTCTTACGGTCAGTTGGGAGTGGCGAAGGGGCCGGGGTGGAAGAAATTATGTGGACAAGAAAAAAAAAAAAGGGAGTCTGCAGAAATAGCAGAGATCAGTGATGGCGAAACTTTTCGGCACCGAGTGCCCAAACTGGAAGGCGCATGCATGTGTGCCTGCCGGAGCGCCAAAAACCCAAAGGCCAGCTGCCCGGTGTGTGTGTGTGCGCACCGGAAGCTTGTCTTTGGGTTTCTGGCATACACATGCACGCCGGCCAGCTGGTCTTTGTGCCCGCCGGAGCACCGGAAACCCAAAGACCAGCTGTCCGGTGTGCATGCTGTTTTTGGGCGTTTTCGGGGCTGTTTTCAGGCCGTTTTTTGGGCCGTTTTCAGGCCGTTTTTTGGGCTGTTTTCAGGTCGTTTTTCAGCGCTCCGGCGCCCGCATAGACCAGCTGGCCAGCGCGCATGTGTGGGCCGGAAACCAGAAGACCAGCTGGCAACAGTGCGTGTGCCCACAGAGACCATAGGTTTGCCATAGTGCCGTAGGTTCGCCATCACGGGCATAGATCGTTGGTGTCAAACTCAATTTCATCGAGGGCCGCTTCAGGGTTGTGTTTGATCCTGGGGGGCCGGGGCGGGTGTGGCCAGCTTAACATCACTCGTGATGGGGTGCCTGTGGCAGCCTGAGTGCTCCGCCCGTGAAAATGGGCTCCCGATCTCCGTTTTCACTGGCAGAGGGTTGCAAGAGGCCGTCCCAGCTGAAAACGGAGATCAGGAGCCCGTTTTCACGAGCAGAGGCACCATGGGCCGGTCCTTTGCTGTTTCCAGAGTGGCCACGTGGGCCAGATCTAAGCACCCCGTGGGCCGCATCCGGCCTGCGGGCGTCAAGTTTGATCGAACTCCTGGCAGTTGGCAGAATTAGCTTGTAAAATTGCATTCTAAGCACCGGGAGGGAGGGAGGGAAGGAGGAAGGGAGGAAGGGAGGAAGGAAGGAAGGAAGGAATAAATAGCAATAGCACTTAGACTTATATACCGCTTCACAGTGCTTTTACAGCCCTCTCTAAGAGGTTTACAGCCTTTTCCCCAACAATCTGGGTCCTCATTTTACCGAGCTCAAAAGGATGGATGGCTGAGTCAACCTTGAGCTGGTCAGGATCAAACACCAGACTGTAGGCAGAGTTTGCCTGCAATGCTGCACTTTAAGCACTGCGCCACCAGGGCTCTTCACATGCAAACCACACAGCAAAGTCTACATTCTGTACATACTAAAAAGTCAGGGGAAGTTTTGCGGGCCATTGCAACAGCCATCTTGGCTTTTTTGACCCTAACCCAGGGGTGAAATGCTCCCGGTTCGGACCGGATCACCCGATCCCGTAGCGATGGCGGCGGGTGGTTCGGAGAACCGGTAGCAAAAATCCCTGCGCTCCCCCAACCATGCTCAGCTGAGTCACACGATCTTCAGAGGCTTTTTTTTTTTCTTTGAAAAGCATTTTTTTTACAACCTCTTCCGGACGAAATGCTTTTAAAAGTTTTTTTTAAAAAAGCCTCTGATGATCGCATGGCTCAGCTGGGATCGTCAGAGGCTTTCCAAAGCATTTTTTTCTGCAACCTCTTGGCCGAAGAGGCGGTAAACAAAATGCTTTGAAACGTCTCTGAGGATCCCAGCTGAGTTGCCTGATCGGCAGAGGCTTTTCAAAGCATTAGAAAAAATGCTTTGAAAAGTTAAAAAAAAAAGTTGGCCGCGCCCACCCAGTCACATTAGTTCCCCCACCATCACCAAGCCTGGTGGCGCAGCAGACTAATAGTCTGTTATTCAGCTGCCTGCAATTACTGTAAGTTCGAATCTCACCAGGCTCAAGGTTGACTCAGCCTTCCATCCTTTCTAAGGTAGGTGAAATGAGGACCCAGTTTGTGGGGGCAATAAGCTGACTTTGTATAAATATATACAAAAGTATGAAGGCTATTGCTTAACGCATTGTAAGCCGCCCTGAGTCTCCGGAGAAGGGCGGCATATAAATCAAATAAAAAGAAAAAAAAGCCCACCCACAGAACCGGTAGTAACAAATTTTACATTTAATTTTAATTTAATTTATTGCATTTCTATGCCGCCCACCTCCCAAGGGACTCTGCCCTAACCCATAGAGACCCCCACCCACCCGAGACCGCAGAAGCCCTCCCATCCAGGCCAGCCTTAACTGTGCAACAAATGGAGCAGCACAACGCTACTTCTTCTGCTAACCACCTTAAATCTTGCTGATTTTTCTAAAATAGTTGGAGCCGGACCCAGCCCATTTCTAGAATCTGCAGTAAAAGGCTAAGAAATGCGTCTCTCTCTGTGGCTCATTTGCAGAAGCTAATCTGGCTGACAGTTAAATCTGGCTATCACACTTGTCAGCCGACGTCTTCCTGCGTAGCTGAGGGCAGCAGCCCTGCACACATATGTCTGTTTTCTAGTTTTGTTTTTGTTATTTTTTTCTTGGTCCTTCTTCCCTGCCTCTCAGCGTCTGCTATCTGAAGTGGCAGCCTCATTATTTCTAATTGTCAAGCCTGGCCCGAGTTCACGGAATCGCAGGCCTGAAGGAAGAACTCACCAAGGCCAGCTCTTTGCACAGGCCCTCCTCCACGCCGAACCTCCCGTGCCAAACTTCCTTTCGGGGGGGAAAATAATTTCGGGAGAACTCAAAAATCTTGGAGAACCTCTCTACCATTTGTAGCGTGATTTGTAGATCTCTCCCAATTAGAAATCTGGAATGGCTCCTTGGAGAAAGGCGATACTGGCGATCTGTAGGAAAATTCTCAGTATTTTTTGCTACTTGCTGGCTTTGAGATCACTCTGGTACGAATGTTAGGTCCAATGATGGTTTAAAGCAGTGGTGAAATCTAAAATTTGTTACTAGCGGTTCTGTGGGCGTGGCTAGGGGGGAGGGTAATGTGACTGGGTGGGCGTGGCCAATTTTTTTTTTTAAACTTTTAAAACCATTTTTTCTACAACCTCTTTGGAGAAGAGGTTTTAAAAAAATGCTTTCAAAAGGCTCTGACGATCCCAGTTTGGATCGTCGTCAGAGGCATTTTTTTTTTTTAAATTTGATTTATATGCCGCCCTTCTCCGGAGACTCAGGGCGGCTTACAATGCGTTAAGCAATAGCCTTCATTCTTTTGTATATTTATACAAAGTCAGCTTATTGCCCCCACAAACTGGGTCCTCAATTTACCTACCTTAGAAAGGATGGAAGGCTGAGTCAACCTTGAGCCTGGCGAGATTCGATCTTACTTTAATTGCAGACAGCTGGTGTTAAATTACAGAGCTTCTGTCTGTTGAGCTAACCAGGTTTTTTTTCTTTTAAAAGCCTTTGACGATCCCAGCTGAGCCGCACGATCATCAGAGGCTTTTTTTTTTTTACTTTTAAAAGCCTTTTTTCGGCCGAATAGGTTGTAGAAAAATGCTTTTAAAAGTAAAAAAAAAAAGCCTCTGATGATTGTGCGGCTCAGCTGGGCATGAGGGGGGGCACAGGGATTTTTGCTACTGGTTCTCCGAACCACCCGCCTCCATCACTAACGGATCGAGCGATCCGGTCCGAACCGGGAGCATTTCACCCCTGGTTTAAAGATACATAACGTTGAATGTTTTCTTTTAGAGTTGGTCTCCCTTTAGTTTCGGAAACTGTCTCAACAAATTTTGGTCTTGTTTGAAGAACAGTATATAAGTCTGTGATGGCGAACCTCTCTGAAGGCCCGTGAGCCGTCGCCCAGCTTGGCTATACCTCCCGCCAGTCAGCTGATTTTCAGGATATGTGGGGGCGGACCTCATGCAGGAGACGCTTGCACATGTATGGGAGGGCAGGGGTTGCACACGCATGCATGGGGGAGTTGCACATGGGGGGCGGGGGTGGGACACAGAGGGTGTGGCGTCCCCCCCCAGTCCATTTTCAGGCTCAGGAGGCTGCAGGGAGGCCTGCTAGGCCCAAAATGGGGCGTGGGGGGGGGTGCGTCCCACCCAAGGCCTGTTTTTGGGCCCAAGAGGCTGTAGGGAGGCCTGCTAGGCCAAAAATGAGTGGTGGGGTTGTGTGTGCATGTGCAGTGGGACGTGGGGGGGGGGTGTCATACGCGCATGCGCGGGGGGGCACATTGAATATGGGGGTGCCAGCACGCGCTTTCAGCACACGGTGCGAAAAAGGTTAGCCATCACCGATATAAGTGAAATGTACATTATGGCCAATCTATTAATACACCAAGTAAAGAATAGCTTTTCTATTTATTTCCCCCCCCCTCCCCAAAGTAGGTCTGGGATTGTATTTATAATAAAGATGCTTTCCTCCCTGGCCAGGGAAAAATGTCTTCTTCCATCCCAATTTCCTACGAATTGACAAATGTTCATTTCCTGGAGAATTATTTATTTATTTATTTTTTATAAAAGAAACAGTTTTGAAAATTTTTGCCCTGTGTTTCCAGCCTAAGAAAACAATATATATATATTGGAAAATGGGCGCGTTCGGGAAAAAAAAATGGGCCCCGTTTTCTGCAGCGTCCAATAACTCGTATTGATTGATCTCATCCCTCTTGCTTAAATGTCTTGATTTTGTGAATGGCTTTACATCTCTTTGTAGACAGCTATTGATTTTCCTCAGTCGCAGGCCGGCTCTCTTTCCCCAAGCTTTTTAATAAAGTGAATAGAAGTGATGGGAGATGGTAAACTCGGCTGACATCCCAGGTTAGTGTCCTGGAAGAAGGTAACAGCTGCCAGCACCACCACCTCCTCCTCCTCCTCCTCCTTTGTCTGCTCTGTTTGCTTGATGTCACCTGTCATCACTCTAACTCGGGGTTGAAGGAATCCAAACAGCTTCCACAGTGTTGTTGGGAGCCGCTTGAGAGCCCTTCTCTTTTGAGGAGCCCACAATGGGGATCTGGTGTCCACCTGACATCTGACAGTGAGAACAATCCACCAAGGGGAACAGAAGTTTAACAGTAACAGGTTGAAAGGGCCCTTGGAGGTCATCTAGTCCAACCCCCTGCTCACGCAGGAGACCTGTAC